GTGTACAGTGGCTTTGACCTTTCCACTGAGTCTGTGGCACACCTACCTAGGGTACAGTGTCTTTGACTCACCCATTGAGAGTGTGGCGCAATCACTTAGGGTACAGTGGCTTTGACTCACCCATTGAGAGTGTGGCACAATCACTTAGGGTACAGTGGCTTTGACCTTTCCACTGAGTCTGTGGCACACCTACCTAGGGTACAGTGGCTTTGACTCACCCATTGAGAGTGTGGCACACTCACCTAGTGTACAGTGGCTTTGACCTTTCCACTGAGTCTGTGGCACACCTACCTAGGGTACAGTGGCTTTGACTCACCCATTGAGAGTGTGGCACACTCACCTCGTGTACAGTGGCTTTGACCTTTCGACTGAGTCTGTGGCACACCTACCTAGGGTACAGTGGCTTTGACTCACCCATTGAGAGTGTGGCACACTCACCTAGTGTACAGTGGCTTTGACCTTTCCACTGAGTCTGTGGCACACCTACCTAGGGTACAGTGGCTTTGACTCACCCATTGAGAGTGTGACACACTCACCTAGTGTACAGTGGATTTGACCTTTCTACTGAGTATGTGGCAAACTTACTCAGGGTACACTGGTTTTGACTTTTCCACAGAGTCTGTGGAACACTCACCTAGGGTAAGAGGTCAACCAGGTATGATTTGAACTTGGGATTCACTGCTGTTCAGCACTACTATGGATCGTTGACAACCACCTACCTAGCCTAATGTCACCATTCATGGTTAATAGAATATTTCCAGCTTTCAGATCACGATGTATCACTTTATTATTATGCAGGTAGTCCAATGCTTCTAGCATTTGTCGAATTATAACTTGTATTTGAACTTCATTTAAAGGTTTTTCTAAATCAAACATGATATCATCAACTGCACCGCCTTCACAGAATTCAATAAATAACTGTAGAGGAAAAAAAAATTTCAATTCATTCATTCAATCATTCATTCATTCATACACACAGAAAGAACCAACAGTGCATGCACGATAAGTATTGATGTTATGCAAGAAATGTCAGTAATTTATGCTGGAAAGCACAAAGGCTTCAGGTTTACCTCCAACTTGTTTAGTGCTCAGTGTTCAAGGCAATTTTAATTCATCAATAATGATCAAGTAATTTTCTGAAACTAAACTGCTATGACACCAATTGCTTTTTTTTGGTCAGAAGTAACCGAGAAATAAAGACAAATATAATAATGGTAAAACCATTTTTAAAAATTTGTTCAGAAAAATACTGGCGCAAATGTCTCATAATATACAATACAAATAACGTATACTTGCAAGGCAGGGCATCAGAATGCCCAATGCCTATTATGTACAAATCAGATCTGATACAAAGACCCCAAAAATAGATGTTTGTACCTTTTTATGCAGAAGATTGGATACAACTAACAGTAACTTGAGAACACCTAAAAGCTACTTTTTCCCTAGAGGTAGCAAGACATAAAAATACATTTCTTTCCCACTGAAATACTTACTGTAATTTTATGATCATAATAGAAAGCTTCCAATAACTTGACAATATATTTATGATCACATTCACTCAATATATCGATTTCTACCATGTAATCGTCCAACTCTTCTTCACTTTTTATCTCAATCACTTTACTGGCTGACAATTTTCCATTGTATTTATGTTTACACTGTAGAACACAAAATACAGAAGGAAATAAGTTAAAACATTCAGTATATTATACAACGAAAGATGCTATAAAAAAGATTTTGGATACAGAAAAATTCTCAGAATGATCTCCACGAACTGAAATGTTAGTTAGGGGAAGAGGGCCTCACTGACACATAAATTAGCATAACATAAACTTGTATTTAATCATTTGCACATATAAGGCAAGGTTGAGAAAAGTTGGTGGGTGTGGCACAACAAAACATCTGGAGGAGAAAAAAAAAATACAAGAATTTTTAGTGTCATTAATTTAGCAAGTTTAGTTATGCCACAGGAACTAGGTTAAAGGATAGATAACATTCATAACCCTGTATATATATATTATTAAAATCGAAGAACAATGATATAATGAGGACAGTATTATTTCTATATGCCAAGACAATTTTATCAAACTCAATAGGTGTCTTCTCAACTCTGAAATTCAACAGGATTAATTAGCAAATCTTCTTAAGTAATATAATTTAAAAAGTCAGTATACATGTAGCTAATAAATGTAAAGAACATAACTAGAAATTTTAATTCATGTTTAATTATGTGTTTAATATTCAGCCAAGCAGACAGTCCTACCAGTCAATACAGAATTTTTAATGGGCATAATAAAGGCGTCATAATCTAGAGAGTGAGCCAATTTAATTATCATTTTTATATAAGAACTAAGTCTAGACAGCCAGCTCTATAGAATTATGTGATTATTTTAGGCATCAATGAATATGGATAAACAGTATATATACTGTATGAAACAGAAGTCTGTTTTGGCTTTCAACAAAAGGAGCATATGGTAGTATTACAGATTTATAAAATGCTAACTAAGCTACGTTGACAGCATAGTAATACCATTCTTCTCCACCAACATGTGACAAGCAAAGCAGCATATATGGACAGAATAATATGTATCCACAAAAAATCCAAACTCAATAAAAAAAAATAATGCTTATAATAATACATCTGTCACTGTATCGCTGTAATGTAATCTTGCAGTATTGCATGGGTATCTGCATCCCACCATATTAGGAAATGTGAATTCCAAATATGGAATGATTACGCTGTATTTTCAAGACAGTGGACAGTTTTGACAATAAAGTTCATAGTGAGAACAATTTTCACCATTTGTGCATGCTTTGTGGCATCCTCGTAATAACCTCATATTATCATTACCCACAGTAAAATATCCACAAATGTTGACATAAGGAAATCTTATTTTCCCACCAACTCAATGTAAACTAATGCTCAAGTGGGAGTTATACACGTGACACACATGATCAGCAGTAAATCTATGAAGTGAGCCCTCTTCAGCTTTCAAGAAATCAGTTGTAGGTAAAATTAACTTTGATACAAGGCAGGAAGTGGATGGATATTTGTAAACCCTTTACATTGCATTATTTAGAATACATGTCTATATATATATATAATTACATCATCCATGGAAAAATAAGAAAATTGACAGTTCATTTGTAATTCACGCTTTTTTAAAAAACAATCTGCACCACTTAATCAAATTAAAACCCAATGTAGGTATAGGCTCCTTTTGTTTTCATTTAATTACTAGTACACAATGCCTATTCATGGTTACAATATTTTTATTTTACACAGTATGAATTAAGTTCTCACACAAATGACACCAATGTCACGTTTCCAGATTTGATAGCTGCTTGATGAATCAATTAGTTCTAGATACAAGTTTATTAACCACTGCTTTTCAGCATAATTACATTCGTACTACACAGGATTTTTAACTTAGTTTGTTCTAAATTTTCCCAGTTCTGTGCTGTAATAGTTTATACAACTGAAGTTTGACTGTATAATTTTAGTATGATTTTAGTTAAAGCAATTAAAGAAGTATTGATAAGTTATAAAACATACACATGGCCAAAAGTTCCATCTTCTACACAACACATGGTCGAAAAAAAAAGTCTAGGGCCAGAAATGCTGGTTCCTTGTTCCTTATATACATTTAATCATGTTGTTGTAGCAGGTAGTTGTTCTGTTCCACCCACAAATAGGTATAGTTTCCTAGAAGCACTTCCTCATATGAAATAAATAATGCAGACAAGCTGAATGAAGAATTGGAAGAAAAAGACAGATGTGTTGACATGCTTTGTACTCTTGGATGCCTCACTGGTAAGCAGTAGTGACTATAGCAGTACACCATGTATGACTGGTTTGTCCTTGTGAAGTTCTAACCATACCTGGTGAGTTGGGACAGCAAAAAGAGGTTGCCCGTACTCTGGTGTCTCCCCGACTGACGGGTATGCTACATCAATAATGCAACTTTGAAGAAATTCGGCTAATTTTCATATGTAGCTTCAATTCAATTGTTGTACAGTAACATCATTATGATAAGAAGATGGTCACATAACCCTGTGGGTGTGGGGAAGCCAAAATACATGCACACAATCATGACATTGTGGATGGCTCTGATGACAATTTATACCACAAGACAAAAAAAAAACAGTGCTATTATAACCAGCAAGTGTACAGAGCGTATTTTACAGTATAACATTTTAGAAACTAAATCATCAACTTGCATCATCATCATTTGTATTTGCATTCAGACTACAACTCGCATATACTTTACATGGCTCAACACGATTCAAATATAATTCCAGACATGTGTACAACAAGTACACATTGAAATCTTGAAGTGATTGATTTTAATACATGTACCAGCACACATAATGGAGTTTACATGTACTGAGTCACACGGTAATTTGATTTTCAAAATAAACATGATTACCTGAACTGGTTAAACTCTGGTGGATGCAGTGTAGACTGTGTTCAGCCATGCAGATGATGCATGAAGCAGAAATAGAAAATTAGGTAATCTTACAAGCTAGATTTTATGCAGTCAATCATGTGACTGTATGCATGTCAGGAAGGCAATACACATCTAAGACATGTGTTTTTCAGTTACCTAGGTTTCTTTGAAATTTGGAAATATATTCA